AAGTTCAAAGAATCTTTTTGCAGCTTCTAGTATGCAGAGAAAGTGCCACTGAAAAGTATTTATTACTTATTTGTTTCTTTCGTGGGATTTATAACTAATTCCACCAAGCAAAGGTCAAAACATCCATTATTAGAAATAACATTTCACTTTCCAAAATAGATTTGATCTATATCCTTTTTGTCCCCCACTAAAGCTTGTAGAATGATAATGGGAGCACTGCTCCAAAACCAGAACTATCATTTGTTTATCTGTCCAAGTAAAATGTTAATTTTGTTTTCTAAGTGGATTTTTAAAAAAGATGTGTGTGTGTGTGTGTATATTACATCTGATGTTTTATACATTTTCACTAAGAATTTTAATTATCTAAGTTCCTATTAAATGTGTGTTGAATCCAGTGTATCTGCCATACTTTAGACTTTCTTCCTGTTTTCACCCTTTCAGCTTGTTATAGCTGCATGCAATGTTTAAGAATGGTACAGAATTTTATTAAATGTGCAGTTTGAAGAAAACTACCCTAATCAGTACCTCCTGGATTAATGGTGCAGATCAGAATGCCATTTCCTTAAGCTTAGACCTTTCTGTGAATTTTGTAGTACAGGTTTTGCCCCTAGAAATTAACCAACATGCATTGGAGAAAATATATTTTAAAATGTATGCTCTGGAAGAAAATATGTCTAGAAGTCTGTGTTTTATGAGAAAATGCATTTAAATATGTTATTTAAATGTAAAATTTTGTGCTGATTTAAAAAAAAAACCCATATTAGAAAAAAGAAAAAATAGTTTTATGAATGACATAGGCAAAAATAGCCTGATCCATCCCTTCCTAGGGGCAGCCATCTAAAATGTAATATGATATTTGTAATAATGTAATAATTGTGTTTGTAATTTTATACGAGGTTGTGTTACTTATGACTTGGGGATAAGTCCTAGAATTATTAAATCTTAGAGTCTGTGATCAGGCAAGTTATATTCCAGATGAGGTCAAAACAGTCTGTTAACCATAGTGTGTATTTGTGGTATATAGTTTAGGTAATTGAGGTGAAATAATTATTTTAACATCATGTATACCCAGAGAGATGGGTGCATCTTTTATGTATCTTAATAAAATTAGATGCAAAAAAGTCCCCCCAAACTAGCAAGGTGTGGCATTATGAAATAGGCTATGTTGTACAAGTTCAGAAACTACCTAACTGTTTAGCAACGAAAGAAATTAGCACAGCGACTCTTAGTCAGTAGGGAGATGTGTCAGATTTTTTTTTTAGAAAGCTGTTTTTTTAGAAAATGGAAAAAGACTCTGATGGAAAAAGGTTGGATATTGTAAATTCAAAGGCTAACGTAACTTTTTTTATCTCTGATCTGGTGCCACTGATTTTTATGCTGAAGAACTCAGAAGTGGACAAATGATTAGATCAATCTATGCATGACCCACCTTTATTTGTGGCAGGTACAACTCAAGGGAGATGTAGCTGTTTGTCTGAATATAATATTACATTCCAGAAATGACAGTTATAGAACCAACAGTATTTTATATCTTTGCTTCAAATAAAAAACAGCTGACAAGCCTTTTTTGCATTAAGTAGATCTGCACAGACCGTTTTTTCCCTCCATGTGGGTGCTTTCTTTCCTTCTCTTTTTTTCATTTCAGTGGGGTAACGTGGAGGCTTTTCTAAATTTGAAACTGGCAGGGGCTTGAAGTGAGGTTTCATCTAAAGATAAATATAGGCTCTTGGGTGTGTCGTTTTAAATGTCAGGTACATTAGTGTATGCTGTAAAGGCTACCGCTTATTAAAACACAGAACTGTTTTTGAAAGAAAAGAAATTTAATGTAACTTTAGTCTTGTCAAGCCACAAGGTGTTTTTCTCAGTTTTGTTTTCAGCTATCTTTGATTAAAAGGTTGACAACTCATGCATTATTCGACAGTTGTTCTACAATAGATTTAAAACAAGTTACGCACAGAAATTTTGCTTGAAGCAAGTTATATTTGCTTGACCTCCAGGTTAGCTCTGTGTATCTTGGAGCCTTCACTTCAGCAAAATTTTGCAGAGTCCTGCTGAACTGAATCAGTATATGAGCTCCAGTAAATCAATAGATAATAAATAACTGCCAACCAGAGTTGGCAATCATCACAATACAATACTGAATATGAACTTCCATTCTTGGAGTATTTATTTTATAGTGTGAACTATTGTTGGTCAGCTTATTCACAAGTAGCTAGTATAGCCAAAATATATTATCCATTAAATCTGTTTTTGAACCTTTTCCCATCATGGGGCCTTTAGCATCTCAACAGTAGCTCCACTGTCTACTGTTAGATAATAAATATACAAAAGTGGTGGTCTACCACACACAGGGTTGGTGTGGTGAAGAATGAGTAAGGACTGTACAGCATATTACTGTAAAGCTACTGAAGTGAGTAAGAATGTTTTTTAAAAGAAATCTTCAAGATGTCCTCATGCAACTGCTCTTTTTTTTTTTCTCCCAAATGTATGCAAATATGTAATTTGGCTTACTAGAAAAGCCTTTATATAGATTTTTTTTAACTCCTTTTCTGATAATGCAGTTAGCTTTCATTTTTAGAAATGGTATTCTAGCTACAAATCCTAGATCTTTCCCAGAGTGCTACCAGTGCAAATTGAAGGGAGGTGTGTGTTTGGGGGGGGGGGGTTGGCTGCAGCCAAGTAGTATTTTAAAGAGATTGGAAGGTGGTATGACATGTTTTGCTTTTTATTATATCCACAAGCATTTCATATATCCCCCTATTAACTAATTACCTCTTCATATAATTGATTGTTTCGGTTTTGAAACAACATAGAAAGTTACAAATACATTTACCAGAAGCAAATATGAGATGAATTATATACACATACTTTCAAGCTGCCTTCAGCTCTGGAAAGCTATGGGCTCTGTCTCCAACTACAATCTTAAGCATATTTACTTAAGAGAAAACCTCACTGATATTGGGGGGAGGGGAGAAGGGGTGCTTCCAAATATGTCTCCTTGGGATTGTGTGTGTGTATGTGTGTACGTAACATTTCTACAAATACTTGGGTTATTAATTTTTCTTCTTCTTAATTTGTTTGGGGTTGGATTGGGGCAAAATCGCTGGAATATAAGCTTCATTGAACTCAGGGTGATGATAGCTGTAATTTTAGTGGATATTAAACTTAGTTAATTTAGTCTGCCTCTAACCATTATTTTGAATCGGTCTTGGATTAAATGTTTCCAGTGCTTATTGTAGAAACCAGGATATTATAATTCAGCCATGAAGGAGCTAGAATTCTCTCTCTTGATTTTTGTTTTTCTAATCAATCAATGTTTAATTGAACCATGTGGTTAGATTAATATATTAAGAAGACTTCTACTCACTTCAAAGTGACCAAATTGTGCCCCTTTCTAAAATAAAGACACATGAAACTGCATTTGATATTAAGCAATATCTAAAAGAGGGATTCCTCTCTCGTGTAATAAGGGATGTTTCATACACCCAGACTACTGGATTTAAACATATTCAGGTGTAACTGACTGAGTAAAAATTTATGTGGATAATGGAATAATAGTGCAGTCCTAAACATTGCTACTCAGGAGTAAACCTTTTGAGTTCAGTAGAGCTTAGGTAAGACTAAGGATAATTCGGTAGTGTTCATATGTTTTTGTACATATCAATTATTATATGTGTTCTACTAACATAAGAACGTTCAGAAATCTCTGGTCTTTGCATCTTTTTAAAACTCTTTTAAAACTCATAATAAGCAATTAACCTTGTTGTTCTTTGTTACTGTTCTGAATTTAGCATATTCCTAAATGTATTCTGAAAATGGAATAATATTTTAATTAGAAATTGGTGTTGACTTGAGAAATAAACTTTAATCATTTGTAGGTAAAGTACAGCTATTTCTTATTTTCTCCTTGTACTTTAAAATTACTTAATTTTTTCTGCAGCATTCCATGTTGATAGCAGAGCACTTTATACATAATGATTATGCAGTCATGCTGAGTTCTGTTCTTACTGAGAATGGGGTAGGTAAATTGTGTACAGTATGTGCAGAGTAATGCATTCACCTTTACAGAAAATGTTTTAAGAAACAAATGAGTCAAAACGACGTTTATAATCTGTACAATATTTAGCAGTTTTAGTAATATGGGGTGTTCAGAAACGGTACTTAGTGGAACAAGACAGAAATATATTAAGAGAAAGGTATTGCCAGCTTTCACTTTAAACTTCTGGACTTCATCTCTGCAGTCACTGCCATTGATTTTATTACTTTATGAATATACTTTGCTAGTGGCACTTTTAACAGCCTAGCTTCGGTGTATTTAACTGATCTCAATTCAGCATTTATTTTCATTGTATTATGATAATTATAAAAGATAGTTTTGGTACTGATATTTCCTTTGTTTCCCTGACTTATCAGTAACAGAAGAAAAATAAGCTTCAGCTAAATAGTTAATATCAGCAGCACAGGAAGTGAAGAAACATGGAGGAGTACATATTACATCGCTTGTCTTCTTTATTTCTGAGGCATGAGTAGATAAAATGTATGCACAGTTACTGTAACTTAGCTCCACCGTACTCCAACTTACACCTTCAAATGCATACCTACAGTTACAAAGTTTGTCATTCATTCTATTTTCCCTTGACCGAAGACTGCTAATCTTTCGTTACAAATGATCACAAGAAAAACAGATAGTGATGATTGGAGAGTTGCTAAAATGTCATCCTTCCTAAATCCAGCAACAAAGAAAGGGAAACCAGATTGTTGGATACTACGATTTCTGGGTTAGTTTGCTCTGAGTTTAACTGCCTCCACTTTTGGAATCCTGTTTTGAACATTTCCGAGACAGTTTAATTTAATTTTAACTTTAGTTATTAGAGAAATGGGAGCTTTAGTGAATAGTTTCAGAATGTGTCATTCTGTCTTACTCACTCCAAGACAGAGCGTGGGAGACAGAACTGCTTTAAAGAGTTGAAAATATTTTTTTTTTATAATTATTGCTTCAAGTGTTGCCTAGCTGGGAATTGGATTTTCATAGTAGGTACTTTTATTTTGTCATTAATTATCTTTTTCTCAGCAGTATTGCTTCTTCTAAGTTACAAAGAAAACGATTATTTAGGGTCTGTGTGTGTGTGTGTGTGTGTGTGTGTTATGGCTATGAATTGTTTAGTGCAGCAAAAGAAGAAATAACTTAAACAGCGAAACTGTTTCAACTGGCAAAATTATTGTATCATTTTGTATTTGATTTCCTTGACCTTTATTTGCTTTGAAATAACATAATGCTTTTCCATACTTGATTAAAAAATGTCTATTTCTAGACACATATATTACTTGTCATGCTAAATATAAAAAGATTTCCAGTATGAATTTTGTGAGTAATTGTTTAAAAATAGTGAAAATAGATTTTGAGATGTAGCTTAATTCAAAATGAGAACTCAGTTATTTTGATAGTAACCTATTAATGATTCATTATATGAAGAATACAAATTGAATCAAACTTTTTGAACTATTCACAAAAAGGGATGAATTATGGAAGTGCAGATAGCTTGACATTAATTTGGAATACAGAAAGATTAAACGTGCAACAGTTTGGGTTTCTTTGGATTCAGAAACACATTATCTACTTCTCATTTCAAGATTAAATTATGCAGCTCTTGAATTACAGCAGTCTTTTCCAAACTAGTACTTCCAGATGTGTTGAATTCAACTCTCATCAACCCAACCCTCTCAAAAGTTGTGGCTTTCCACCGACTGAGTACACTGTACAGTAGTTCACATGTTGTAAGGAGTTCAGGAACACAATGTCTTCTACCAAACGCACAAGAAAAGTGCCCACAAATTATAGATAGAACCGATAAGAGAAGCAAACAACAGAATTACTACAAAAACAGCATATTAAAAGCTGAAAGACCACTAGAGGTAGATATGTATATAGGTATGTGACCATATTGATGTGCCTCCAACTCTGTTTGCTTTTCATGTGTGTATATCTACACACACATACACACCTACATACACATAAACTATTCCCCTCCTTGATGGTGGGACTAACCACTGAAAAGAGCCTCCAATATTTAGATGTTGTTTGATGAATTACTCTTATCAGAAAAGAGATGCATTCTGAGAACTTCAGTTACATGTACAGCAATCTCCTTTATGCTCTTTTAAATTCTCTTTACTGAGTATCTTAAAATACTTCAAACACATTAATATTGAAGTTGGATATTTTTTTCCTGTTCTCTGATTTAAATAAAATACTTATTCTACTTTTGAATGTATGATTGCAACAGTGATTGCTTACAAATTTAATTATCTGACATTTATTTTGGAGTGTTCACATATCTGTCTTGTCTGCTGTAATTGAAGGGAATAGCTAGTGATTAAAAATGAAAAGCTTCTGCTATGTGATTAAATTGTATTAACTATATTTACATAATCAAAAGCAGAGAAAACACTTGATATGATTCATTTACTATCTGCTAATTTTTTTTCCCATTACAAATCACAATCTAGAAGCAAGGACACAGATATTCAGAACTATAAAGAAGCAACAGTTACCAACTAAAAGTTTGTAGTGCATTGCTGAAATAAAACGGTTGTAAAATATAAAAATCAATATGAGGTTTTTGTTTTCATTCTGCCACTTTAATCTTTGTTTTTACAAATAAATACAAATAACTGAAACCGAAACTTGATGACTTTTGGTGATACTAAATGAATAGCCCTTGGGGAAAATTTTCTTCATTTAACATGAGTCTTTCACAACCCACACTTGGTTTCGCTAGGAAAATTGTTTAACCTTTTCAGAAGCAAGAAGCCTTTGAAGTCTAGACATGTTGCAGCATTGGTTCACAATTTTGAGCTCTTTCCAGATGCCCATAAAACCCCCTAAACCAACTAAAGATATTCTACAATGTCTTTAGCAGGATGGCAGATGTTAGCTCTCATAATCCAGCACCCGCAGTGTCATATTGTATCCCTGATTTTAAAAAAACAGTCTTGCTGCAGTGGAGAAAACTTTTCTGTAGGTTCCCCTTCCTTCCCAATTTTCTTTAAGGACGTAATGTGGAGAGGCAGTGCAGTCTCCCACAAGAATCAGAATACACTGTTGGAAAAAGTAAAGAAAGGCAAATGAATTAGAAGAGCTTCATGAAAATTATAGTATGCTGAAAGAAAAGGAAGACTCCTTGGGCTTAGCATTTTCTCTCCCCCACCCTTCCCAAAAGGCTTAATGCTTGTTATATTTAGTGAAGGATTCAGAGGTTATAGTATTCCACAATTTACTGGGAATGGGCATGACTTTCTTATTTCTAACTCATTGGATTTAGGATTGTCTTGTCGATATAAAAAAATACATTCTTATTTTGCATACAGAAACAGGAGGTAGACCAAAAGGGCTTTCCCTCAGTTTGGAAGCTGATGCTAATGATCTATTTTATCCTAGCAACAAAGCATTTCATTGATGGGACAGTGGCTTTCTTCACAACCAAAGCATTAGTAGGGGTGAGTGGGGTCATTGCAATATTTAATACCAATTAAGTATTAAGGCTTTGAACTCAAATCTTGAATAGCACCTCATTTTTAAGTGACAAATACATTTATTCATGGGAATAAAATCAATCTAAGAGGTGTGTTCATGGGATCTTCAGTCATCCAGTAAAACTTTGCTGGGTTTTGGGGTGCTTCTGAAACCTGCAAAAACCATCTGATAAGGGATAACAGCAGTGTAATAGTTCCCTTTTTGGGAATTACTCCTGTATTTTTTTTGTCAACTTCAGCACTTAAAGAATGTTACCTGTTTCAAATACAAAATAATGCAATTGTTATTTTCACCCTGGAGAGATAACTACAGCTTTAATCTCTTTTCTGTTTTGGTCCCTCTGTGCGTGTTTATGTGTATGTGCGTCCGTGTGTGTACACTGAATCACACCAGTACTCAGAAGAAATACTACGGAGTATTTTTAAAAATGTGCTTCATTCTCCATATGGGTGGGGGGTTTTCCCCCCAATCATCATATATATGACTTTTCTCCTTTTTGCTGTAATTCTTTGTTCTTGGGGGTTGCAAAACTTTCTTTAAAAAAAAAAATGAAATTGAGGACTTATTCTGTTGACAAGAGAGGCAAGCTAGCAAAACTAGTCTGAGCAAAGGCCCCCATCATGTTTTGTAACAAAAATCAAATATAAGGGATATCTGAGCAATGGAATTTAAGCTTCTTTGATCAAAAATACTAGTGTGGAAAAACTCTAAATCCCATGACAAATAGAAACTTAGATCACTGGCTTCATGGTAGTAGAAATTTTCTCTTTCCCTTCAAAAGTAAGTTGCAATTTTTTCACCAATTGAAGCAAGTTATTTTTTTCTTCCAGATCTTTTTAATTAGAATAGCATAGTTTGAGATCATAAATGTTTAGTTTGAGATCATAAATATGTTTAGATTTAATGGCTTTAAGTGAATGTAAGCCAGTGAGCAATGGCCACATTCTGCCTCTCCCCTTCTATGATTTAAATAAGTTAAATGTTATTATTAGTTGATATGATAAATTTCTTGATTTTGCTGACCACACATTTGAAATCAATAAGAAGTCAAAGAGTCATACATAAATTGCATATTTTTGATGCAAGCAATCAGCACAATTTGGATATGTTTTTTTCCGGAGCATTAGAGATGTCCAGTAACATTTAGCATTAAGAAATGAGACACACATGAGCTAAGTCTTGAAAATTTTTACAGTGTGCTCTTTTAAAAGGAAGACACCCACGATAAGACTGGATGAAACTTATTTTTTTAAAAAAGGAAGCTGCTTATAGCAAGAACCGGGGAACTCTGCGTGCTTCCCATCTATGTCATAATTTCTGCTGTTAGTGGCATAACAATTCATATTAGGAATTGTTTGTGGATTCCATGATGCAGCATGAGATACTTTTATATTTCAAATGGGAAGCTTGGAGGGGAGTTTTTCCTCTTACCTCTGTCTCAAATATACAGTTTTTGTCTTGACAAAACTGAGATGTGGAAGGTAGACTTGGCATACGCAAGATTCCACCTCTGGGTCTCAGGGATTCCAAGTGAAATTTTCCCATTTCCCCATTTCTGTTTTTCATGCTAACTACCAAAAGTACTGAACACCCTCTATGTGCCATGGTAATGCGTATGCTCTGTTGGTCATTGGGCATCTCCCTTCTCGACCACATCAGCAACAATACAATCCGACAGCAGACGGGCGTTGCACCAATAACTAAGAAAATGTGGGAAAAACACTCACAGTGGTATGGCCACATCCTGCAAGTAGCACTCCACACCGTCTCCTGCACTACCTACCACTTTAACACCGATGGCAAATGCCCATGCAGAAGACCAAAGCAAAGGTGGCAGGACACAACTGATGTGAATGTGAAGATGCAAACATGAAGGTCACCCAGTTGGACCCGGTTGCTGCATTCGATTGCATGAAATGGTGTTCATTGATCTGAAAGTAGACCTGCACCTGTGGGAAAAAGCTAGGAAAAAGAAGAAAAAAATTCCTGACCTTGCTAACACAAATATGTAGAAATGAAATGTATTGTTTATTTAAGGCCAAGGAACGCTGGTTATGTATCATAACTGGTTATCATTGGATAAACCTGTGTGCCAGTAGTATGAAAATTAAGGAAAAATTTCCAGATTTTTTTTTCATCGTTGAGAAATCTTTTTATTGGTGCTACTTTGTTTCTTATTACAACAGATATAAGACCAAAAGAGAGGATGGTTCTGCCTTTTCATAGGAATGAATTGTTATTTAAATTTTGGGCTTTAAATTCAAGGGCTTTTTTTTTTTAGTGTTAAAGCTTTTGATGAACACCCAGGTTTATAAATGTCCTTTTTCTTGGATGCTAGTAATGACTAATATTCCTAGAAGGAAAATGTAGCTTGTACATAGGTGGATTTTGCATAGAAGTGTCACAGACTTTTGGGTTTTATGATCTTTTGGCCCTACCTTTTATAATTTAATTACTCTATATGTGTATGTGTGCACATGCACGTGTCTGTGTGCAT